TGCCAGCGGGCGTTCGATACTTCACGTGGCCTCAGGGTGCACATAGCCTGGCACAAGCGTCGTGGTGACGTCACCGCCACTTAGTGGCGAATGGCGGTTGTTGTTGTTGTTGTGTACCAGTGTGTGTACCACAGTGTGGTGTGTACCAGTGAGTGATGCCCGTGGCTCTGTGCAGGGACACTCTCCCACTGCCCTCTTTGCTCTGCCCGTCGCGGCTGTCCACGGCGCTCATTCCCTTGTGTCTGTGTGTGTGTACCACTGTGTGTGTGTGTGTACCACAGTGTGTGTGTACCACAGTGTGTGTGTACCAGTGTGTGTACCACTGTGTGTGTGTACCAGTGTGTGTGTACCACAGTGTGTGTGTACCAGTGTGTGTACCAGTGAGTGATGCCCGTGGCTCTGTGCAGGGACACTCTCCCACTGCCCTCTTTGCTCTGCCCGTCGCGGCTGTCCACGGCGCTCATTCCCTTGTGTCTGTGTGTGTGTGTGGTGTGTACCAGTGTGTGTACCAGTGTGTGTGTGTACCACAGTGTGTGTGTACCACTGTGTGTACCACTGTGTGTGTACCAGTGAGTGATGCCCGTGGCTCTGTGCAGGGACACTCTCCCACTGCCCGCTTTGCTCTGCCCGTCGCGGCTGTCCACGGCGCTCATTCCCTTGTGTCTGTGTGTGTGTACCACTGTGTGTACCAGTGTGTGTGTGTACCAGTGTGTGTGTGTACCACTGTGTGTGTGTACCACTGTGTGTGTGTGTACCACAGTGTGTGTGTACCACAGTGTGGTGTGTACCAGTGAGTGATGCCCGTGGCTCTGTGCAGGGACACTCTCCCACTGCCCTCTTTGCTCTGCCCGTCGCGGCTGTCCACGGCGCTCATTCCCTTGTGTCTGTGTGTATGTGTACCACTGTGTGTGTACCAGTGTGTGTGTACCACAGTGTGTGTGTACCACTGTGTGTGTGTGTCTGTGTGTACCAGTGTGTGTGTGTACACTGTGTGTGTGTGTACCACTGTGTGTGTGGTGTGTACCAGTGTGTGTGTGTGTGTACCACTGTGTGTGTGTACCAGTGTGTGGTGTGTGTGTGTACCAGTGTGTGTACCAGTGTGTGTGTGGTGTGTACCAGTGTGTGTGTACCAGTGTGTGTACCAGTGTGTGTGTGTACCACTGTGTGTACCAGTGTGTGTACCAGTGTGTACCAGTGAGTGATGCCCGTGGCTCTGTGCAGGGACACTCTCCCACTGCCCTCTTTGCTCTGCCCGTCGCGGCTGTCCACGGCGCTCATTCCCTTGTGTCTGTGTGTGTGTACCAGTGTGTGTGTGTGTACCAGTGTGTGTGTGTACCACTGTGTGTGTGTGTACCAGTGTGTGTACCAGTGAGTGATGCCCGTGGCTCTGTGCAGGGACACTCTCCCACTGCCCTCTTTGCTCTGCCCGTCGCGGCTGTCCACGGCGCTCATTCCCTTGTGTCTGTGTGTGTGTGTACCAGTGTGTGTGTATACCAGTGTGTGTGTGTGTACCACTGTGTGTGTGTACCAGTGTGTGTGTACCAGTGTGTGTGTGTACCAGTGAGTGATGCCCGTGGCTCTGTGCAGGGACACTCTCCCACTGCCCGCTTTGCTCTGCCCGTCGCGGCTGTCCACGGCGCTCATTCCCTTGTGTACCAGTGTGTGTGGTGTGTGTGGTGTGTACCAGTGTGTGTGTGTGTACCACTGTGTGTGTGTGTGTACCAGTGAGTGATGCCCGTGGCTCTGTGCAGGGACACTCTCCCACTGCCCTCTTTGCTCTGCCCGTCGCGGCTGTCCACGGCGCTCATTCCCTTGTGTCTGTGTGTGTGTGTACCACTGTGTGTGTACCACTGTGTGTGTGTGTGTATGTGTGTGTGGTGTGTGTGTGTGTGTCTGTGTGTCTGTGTGTACCACTGTGTGTAGTGTGTGTACCACTGTGTGTGTGTACCACTGTGTGTGTACCACTGTGTGTGTGTGTACCAGTGAGTGATGCCCGTGGCTCTGTGCAGGGACACTCTCCCACTGCCCTCTTTGCTCTGCCCGTCGCGGCTGTCCACGGCGCTCATTCCCTTGTGTCTGTGTGTGTGGTGTGTGTGTGTGTGGTGTGTACCAGTGTGTCTGTGTGTACCACTGTGTGTAGTGTGTGTGTGTGTACCAGTGTGTGTGGTGTGTGTGTGTACCACTGTGTGTGTACCACTGTGTGTGTGTACCACTGTGTGTGTGTACCACTGTGTGTACCAGTGTGTGTACCAGTGTGTGTGTGTGTACCACAGTGTGTGTGTACCAGTGTGTGTGTGTGTACCACTGTGTGTGTGTACCACTGTGTGTGGTGTGTACCAGTGTGTGTGTGTGTACCAGTGTGTGTGTGTACACTGTGTGTGTGTACCAGTGTGTGTGTGTGTACCAGTGAGTGATGCCCGTGGCTCTGTGCAGGGACACTCTCCCACTGCCCTCTTTGCTCTGCCCGTCGCGGCTGTCCACGGCGCTCATTCCCTTGTGTCTGTGTGTGTGTGGTGTGTGTGTGTGTACCAGTGTGTGTGTACCAGTGTGTGTGTACCAGTGTGTGTGTGTGGTGTATGTGTGTGTGTACCACTGTGTGTACCACAGTGTGTGTGTACCAGTGTGTGTGTGTGTACCACTGTGTGTGTGTACCAGTGTGTGTGTGTGTGTACCACTGTGTGTGTGTGTACCAGTGTGTGTACCAGTGAGTGATGCCCGTGGCTCTGTGCAGGGACACTCTCCCACTGCCCGCTTTGCTCTGCCCGTCGCGGCTGTCCACGGCGCTCATTCCCTTGTGTACCAGTGTGTGTGTGTACCAGTGTGTGTGTGTGTGTACCAGTGTGTGTACCACTGTGTGTGTGTACCAGTGTGTGGTGTGTACCACTGTGTGTGTACCAGTGTGTGTCTGTGTGTGTGTGTACCAGTGTGTGTACCAGTGAGTGATGCCCGTGGCTCTGTGCAGGGACACTCTCCCACTGCCCTCTTTGCTCTGCCCGTCGCGGCTGTCCACGGCGCTCATTCCCTTGTGTCTGTGTGTGTGTGGTGTGTGTGTGTGTGTACCAGTGTGTGTACCAGTGTGTGTGTACCACAGTGTGTGTGTGTGTGTACCAGTGTGTGTACCACAGTGTGGTGTGTACCAGTGAGTGATGCCCGTGGCTCTGTGCAGGGACACTCTCCCACTGCCCGCTTTGCTCTGCCCGTCGCGGCTGTCCACGGCGCTCATTCCCTTGTGTCTGTGTGTGTGTACCAGTGTGTGTGTGTACCACTGTGTGTGTACCACTGTGTGTGTGTGTGTACCAGTGTGTGTGTGTGGTGTGTACCACAGTGTGTGTGTACCACTGTGTGTGTACCAGTGAGTGATGCCCGTGGCTCTGTGCAGGGACACTCTCCCACTGCCCGCTTTGCTCTGCCCGTCGCGGCTGTCCACGGCGCTCATTCCCTTGTGTCTGTGTGTGTGTGTACCACTGTGTGTGGTGTGTGTGTGTACCACTGTGTGTACCAGTGTGTGTGTACCAGTGTGTGTGTGTACCAGTCTGTGTGTGTGTGTGTACCACTGTGTGTGTGTACCAGTGTGTGTGTACCACTGTGTGTGTACCACAGTGTGTGTACCACAGTGTGTGTACCAGTGTGTGTGTGTGTACCAGTGAGTGATGCCCGTGGCTCTGTGCAGGGACACTCTCCCACTGCCCTCTTTGCTCTGCCCGTCGCGGCTGTCCACGGCGCTCATTCCCTTGTGTACCAGTGTGTGTGTGTACCAGTGTGTGTGTGTGTACCACTGTGTGTGTACCACAGTGTGTGTGTGGTGTGTACCAGTGTGTGTGTGTACCAGTGTGTGTGTGTGTGTGTGTGGTGTGTACCAGTGTGTGTGTGTACCAGTGTGTGTGTGTGTGTACCAGTGTGTGGTGTGTGTGTGTGTACCAGTGTGTGTACCAGTGTGTGTGTACCACTGTGTGGTGTGTACCAGTGAGTGATGCCCGTGGCTCTGTGCAGGGACACTCTCCCACTGCCCTCTTTGCTCTGCCCGTCGCGGCTGTCCACGGCGCTCATTCCCTTGTGTCTGTGTGTGTGTGGTGTGTGTGTGTCTGTGTGTACCAGTGTGTGTGTGTGTACCACAGTGTGTGTGTGTGTACCACTGTGTGTACCAGTGTGTGTACCAGTGTGTGTACCAGTGAGTGATGCCCGTGGCTCTGTGCAGGGACACTCTCCCACTGCCCGCTTTGCTCTGCCCGTCGCGGCTGTCCACGGCGCTCATTCCCTTGTGTCTGTGTGTGTGTACCACTGTGTGTGTGTGTGTACCAGTGTGTGTGTACCACTGTGTGTGGTGTGTACCAGTGAGTGATGCCCGTGGCTCTGTGCAGGGACACTCTCCCACTGCCCTCTTTGCTCTGCCCGTCGCGGCTGTCCACGGCGCTCATTCCCTTGTGTCTGTGTGTGTGTGGTGTGTGTGGTGTGTGTGTGTGTACCACTGTGTGTGTGTACCAGTGAGTGTGTGTACCACTGTGTGTGTGTACCACTGTGTGTGTGGTGTGTGTGTGTGGTGTGTGTGGTGTGTACCAGTGTGTGTGTACCAGTGTGTGTACCAGTGAGTGATGCCCGTGGCTCTGTGCAGGGACACTCTCCCACTGCCCGCTTTGCTCTGCCCGTCGCGGCTGTCCACGGCGCTCATTCCCTTGTGTACCAGTGTGTGTATGTGTGTGTACCACTGTGTGTGTGTACCAGTGTGTGTGTACCAGTGTGTGGTGTGTACCAGTGAGTGATGCCCGTGGCTCTGTGCAGGGACACTCTCCCACTGCCCTCTTTGCTCTGCCCGTCGTGGCTGTCCACGGCGCTCATTCCCTTGTGTCTGTGTGTGTGTACCACTGTGTGTGTGTACCACTGTGTCTGTGTGTGTGTGTACCAGTGTGTGTGTGTACCAGTGTGTGTGTGTGTGTACCACAGTGTGTGTGTGTACCACTGTGTGTGTGTACCACTGTGTGTGTACCAGTGTGTGTGGTGTGTACCAGTGAGTGATGCCCGTGGCTCTGTGCAGGGACACTCTCCCACTGCCCTCTTTGCTCTGCCCGTCGCGGCTGTCCACGGCGCTCATTCCCTTGGCCGAGAAGTTGCATGCAGACAGCTCAAAGTGGGGGCAGTTGAGCTCCAGCAGGCGGGCGTACAGCACGTTCTCTACCTGGTGGTGGTGGTGGTGAGGAGGTGGTGGGGAGGAGGTGGTGAGGAGGTGAGGAGGTGGTGGTGAGGAGGTGGTGAGGTGGTGGTGAGGTGGTGGTGAGGAGGTGGTGAGGAGGTGGTGAGGAGGTGAAGAGGTGGTGATGGTGAGTAGTAGTAGTAGTAGTAGGTGAAGAGGTGGTGAGGAGGTGGTGGTGGTGAGGAGGAGGTGGTGAGGAGGTGGTGAGGAGGTGGTGGTGAGTAGTAGGAGGTGGAGGAGGTGGTGAGGAGGAGGTGGTGAGGAGGAGGTGGTGAGGAGGTGGTGGTGAGGAGGTGGTGGTGAAGAGGTGGTGAGGAGGTGGTGAGGAGGTGGTGGTGAGGAGGTGGTGAGGAGGAGGTGGTGGTGAGTAGTAGGAGGTGGAGGAGGTGGTGAGGAGGAGGTGGTGAGGAGGTGGTGGTGAGGAGGTGGTGGTGAAGAGGTGGTGAGGAGGTGGTGAGGAGGTGGTGGTGGTGAGGAGGAGGAGGTGGTGAGGAGGTGGTGGTGAGGAGGTGGTGGTGAAGAGGTGGTGAGGAGGTGGTGAGGAGGTGGTGGTGAGGAGGTGGTGAGGAGGTGGTGGTGAGGAGGTGGTGAGGAGGAGGTGGTGAGGAGGTGGTGGTGGTGAGGAGGTGGTGAGGAGGTGGTGAGGAGGTGGTGGTGGTGAGGTGGTGGTGGTGGTGAGGAGGTGGTGAGGAGGTGGTGAGGAGGTGGTGAGGAGGTGGTGGTGGTGAGGAGGTGGTGAGGAGGTGGTGAGGTGGTGAGGAGGTGGTGAGGAGGTGGTGGTGAGGAGGCGGTGAGGAGGTGGTGGTGAGGAGGTGGTGAGGAGGTGGTGGTGAGGAGGTGGTGAGGAGGTGGTGGTGAGGAGGTGGTGAGGAGGTGGTGGTGAGGAGGTGGTGAGGAGGAGGTGGTGAGGAGGTGGTGGTGGTGAGGAGGTGGTGAGGAGGTGGTGGTGAGGAGGTGGTGAGGAGGTGGTGGTGAGGAGGTGGTGAGGAGGTGGTGGTGAGGAGGTGGTGAGGAGGTGGTGGTGAGGTGGTGGTGAGGAGGTGGTGGTGAGGAGGTGGTGAGGAGGAGGTGGTGAGGAGGTGGTGAGGAGGTGGTGGTGGTGAGGAGGTGGAGGAGGTGGTGAGGAGGTGGTGGTGGTGTGGTGGTGAGGAGGTGCTGGTGAGGAGGTGGTGGTGAGGAGGTGGCGAGTAGGTGAGTAGTAGGTGGTGAGTAGTAGGTGGTGAGTAGGTGAGTAGTAGGTGGTGGTGGTGAGGAGGTGGTGAGTAGTAGGTGGTGAGTAATAGTAGTAGGTGGTGAGTAGTAGGTGGTGAGTAGGTGGTGAGTAGTAGGTGGTGAGTAGTAGGTGGTGGTGAGTAGCAGGTGGTGAGTAGTAGGTGGTGAGTAGGTGAGTAGTAGGTGGTGAGTAGTAGGTGGTGGTGAGTAGTAGGTGGTGAGTAGTAGGTGGTGAGTAGTAGTAGGTGGTGAGTAGTAGGTGGTGAGTAGTAGGTGGTGAGTAGTAGGTGGTGAGTAGTAGGTGGTGAGTAGGTGAGTAGTAGGTGGTGAGTAGTAGGTGGTGAGTAGTAGTAGGTGGTGAGTAGTAGTAGGTGGTGAGTAGTAGGTGGTGGTGAGTAGTAGGTGGTGAGTAGGTGAGTAGTAGGTGGTGAGTAGTAGGTGGTGAGTAGTAGGTGGTGAGTAGTAGGTGGTGGTGAGTAGTAGGTGGTGAGTAGTAGGTGGTGAGTAGGTGAGTAGTAGGTGGTGAGTAGTAGGTGGTGAGTAGTAGGTGGTGAGTAGTAGTAGGTGGTGAGTAGTAGTAGGTGGTGAGTAGTAGGTGGTGGTGAGTAGTAGGTGGTGAGTAGGTGAGTAGTAGGTGGTGAGTAGTAGGTGGTGAGTAGTAGGTGGTGAGTAGTAGGTGGTGGTGAGTAGTAGGTGGTGAGTAGTAGGTGGTGAGTAGGTGAGTAGTAGGTGGTGAGTAGGTGAGTAGTAGGTGGTGAGTAGTAGGTGGTGAGTAGGTGAGTAGTAGGTGGTGGTGGTGAGGAGGTGGTGAGTAGTAGGTGGTGAGTAATAGTAGTAGGTGGTGAGTAGTAGGTGGTGAGTAGGTGGTGAGTAGTAGGTGGTGAGTAGTAGGTGGTGAGTAGTAGGTGGTGGTGAGTAGCAGGTGGTGAGTAGTAGGTGGTGAGTAGGTGAGTAGTAGGTGGTGAGTAGTAGGTGGTGGTGAGTAGTAGGTGGTGAGTAGTAGGTGGTGAGTAGTAGTAGGTGGTGAGTAGTAGGTGGTGAGTAGTAGGTGGTGAGTAGTAGGTGGTGAGTAGGTGAGTAGTAGGTGGTGAGTAGTAGGTGGTGAGTAGTAGGTGGTGAGTAGTAGTAGGTGGTGAGTAGTAGTAGGTGGTGAGTAGTAGGTGGTGGTCTGTGGTGGTGAGTAGTAGGTGGTGAGTAGGTGAGTAGTAGGTGGTGAGTAGTAGGTGGTGAGTAGTAGGTGGTGAGTAGTAGGTGGTGGTGAGTAGTAGGTGGTGAGTAGTAGGTGGTGAGTAGGTGAGTAGTAGGTGGTGAGTAGTAGGTGGTGAGTAGTAGGTGGTGAGTAGTAGTAGGTGGTGAGTAGTAGTAGGTGGTGAGTAGTAGGTGGTGGTGAGTAGTAGGTGGTGAGTAGGTGAGTAGTAGGTGGTGAGTAGTAGGTGGTGAGTAGTAGGTGGTGAGTAGTAGGTGGTGGTGAGTAGTAGGTGGTGAGTAGTAGGTGGTGAGTAGGTGAGTAGTAGGTGGTGAGTAGGTGAGTAGTAGGTGGTGAGTAGTAGGTGGTGAGTAGTAGGTGGTGAGTAGGTGAGTAGTAGGTGGTGAGTAGTAGGTGGTGAGTAGTAGGTGGTGAGTAGGTGAGTAGTAGGTGGTGAGTAGGTGGTGAGTAGGTGGTGAGTAGTAGGTGGTGAGTAGGTGGTGAGTAGTAGGTGGTGAGTAGTAGGTGGTGAGTAGGTGGTGAGTAGGTGAGTAGTAGGTGGTGAGTAGGTGGTGAGTAGGTGAGTAGTAGGTGGTGAGTAGTAGGTGGTGAGTAGGTGGTGAGTAGGTGAGTAGTAGGTGGTGAGTAGGTGGTGAGTAGGTGAGTAGTAGGTGGTGAGTAGTAGGTGGTGAGTAGGTGAGTAGGTGAGTAGTAGGTGGTGAGTAGTAGGTGGTGAGTAGTAGGTGGTGAGTAGGTGAGTAGGTGAGTAGTAGGTGGTGAGTAGTAGGTGGTGGTGAGTAGTAGGTGGTGAGTAGTAGGTGGTGAGTAGTAGGTGGTGAGGTGGTGGTGAGTAGTAGGTGGTGAGTAGTAGGTGGTGAGTAGGTGAGTAGTAGGTGGTGAGTAGGTGAGTAGTAGGTGGTGAGTAGTAGGTGGTGAGTAGGTGAGTAGTAGGTGGTGAGTAGGTGAGTAGTAGGTGGTGAGTAGTAGGTGGTGAGTAGTAGTAGGTGGTGAGTAGTAGGTGGTGAGTAGTAGGTGGTGAGTAGGTGAGTAGTAGGTGGTGAGTAGGTGAGTAGTAGGTGGTGAGTAGTAGGTGGTGGTGAGTAGTAGTAGTAGGTGGTGAGTAGTAGGTGGTGAGTAGTAGGTGGTGAGTAGTAGTAGTAGGTGGTGAGTAGTAGGTGGTGAGTAGTAGTAGGTGAGTAGTAGGTGGTGAGTAGGTGAGTAGTAGGTGGTGAGGTGGTGGTGAGTAGTAGGTGGTGGTGGTGAGGAGGTGGTGAGGAGGTGGTGAGGAGGAGGTGGAGGAGGTGGTGAGGAGGTGGTGGTGAGGAGGTGGTGGTGAGTAGTAGGAGGAGGTGAGGAGGTGGTGAGTAGTAGTAGGTGGTGAGGAGGTGGTGAGTAGTAGTAGGTGGTGAGTAATAGTAGTAGGTGGTGAGTAGTAGGTGGTGAGTAGGTGGTGAGTAGTAGGTGGTGAGTAGTAGGTGGTGGTGAGTAGCAGGTGGTGAGTAGTAGGTGGTGAGTAGGTGAGTAGTAGGTGGTGGTGAGTAGTAGGTGGTGAGTAGTAGGTGGTGAGTAGTAGTAGGTGGTGAGTAGGTGGTGAGTAGTAGGTGGTGAGTAGTAGGTGGTGAGTAGTAGTAGCAGGTAGTGAGTAGTAGGTGGTGAGTAGTAGGTGGTGAGTAGTAGGTGGTGAGTAGTAGGTGGTGGTGAGTAGTGGGTGGTGAGTAGTAGGTGGTGAGTAGTAGGTGGTGAGTAGTAAGTGGTGAGTAGTAGTAGCAGGTAGTGAGTAGTAGGTGGTGAGTAGTAGGTGGTGAGTAGGTGAGTAGTAGGTGGTGAGTAGTAGGTGGTGAGTAGGTGAGTAGTAGGTGGTGAGTAGGTGGTGAGTAGGTGGTGAGTAGGTGAGTAGTAGGTGGTGAGTAGTAGGTGGTGAGTAGTAGGTGGTGAGTAGTAGGTGGTGAGTAGTAGGTGGTGAGTAGTAGGTGGTGAGTAGGTGAGTAGTAGGTGGTGAGTAGTAGGTGGTGAGTAGGTGAGTAGTAGGTGGTGAGTAGTAGTAGCAGCAGGAGCTGTACCTGCCGCTCCTCGTCACCAAGAGCGTTGCCGTAGACAAAGCAGCCTCGACGCGTCGCATGGCCGTGCAGGTCCACGTAGTAGGCCAGCCCACTGCTGTCGCCTCGCTGCTCCTGCAGGGTGAGTGGTGAAGGTGAGTGGTGGTGAGTGGTGGTGAGTGGGTGGGTGGGTGAGTGGGGGAGTGGGGGAGTGAGTGAGTGAGTGGGTGAGTGAGTGAGTGGGGGAGTGAGTGAGTGGGTGAGTGAGTGAGTGGGTGAGTCAGTGAGTGAGTGGGTGAGTGGGTGAGTGAGTGGGTGAGTGAGTGAGTGGGTGAGTGAGTGAGTGGGTGAGTGAGTGGGTGAGTGGGTGAGTGAGTGAGTGGGTGAGTGAGTGAGTGGGTGAGTGAGTGGGTGAGTGGGTGAGTGAGTGAGTGGGTGAGTGGGTGAGTGAGTGGGTGAGTGAGTGAGTGAGTGGGTGAGTGAGTGGGTGAGTGAGTGAGTGGGTGGGTGAGTGGGGGAGTGAGTGAGTGGGTGGGTGAGTGGGTGAGTGAGTGAGTGGGTGAGTGAGTGGGTGGGTGAGTGGGTGGGTGAGTGAGTGAGTGGGTGAGTGGGTGAGTGAGTGAGTGGGTGAGTGGGTGGGTGAGTGGGTGAGTGAGTGGGTGAGTGAGTGAGCAAGTGAGTGAGCGAGCAAGGGGACGAGTGAGTGAGTGAGTGGGTGAGTGAGTGAGTGGGGGAGTGAGTGAGTGGGTGAGTGAGTGGGTGAGTGAGTGAGTGAATGAGTGAGTGAGTGGGTGAGTGGGTGAGTGAGTGGGTGAGTGAATGAGTGAGTGAGTGGGTGAGTGAGTGGGTGAGTGAGTGAGTGGGTGAGTGAGTGAGTGAGCGAGTGAGTGGGTGAGTGAGTGAGTGAGTGGGTGAGTGAGTGAGTGAGTGGGTGAGTGAGTGAGTGAGTGGGTGAATGAGTGAGTGAGTGGGTGAGTGGGTGAATGAGTGAGTGAGTGGGTGAGTGGGTGAGTGAGTGATTGAGTGGGTGAATGAGTGAGTGAGTGGGTGAGTGGGTGAGTGAGTGGGTGAGTGAGTGGGTGGGTGAGTGAGTGAGTGGGTGAGTGAGTGAGTGAGTGGGTGAGTGAGTGGGTGAGTAAGTGGGTGAGTGAGTGAGTGAGTGGGTGAGTGAGTGAGTGGGTGAGTGAGTGAGTGGGTGAGTGAGTGGGTGAGTGAGTGAGTGGGTGAGTGAGTGAGTGGGTGAGTGAGTGAGTGGGTGAGTGAGTGAGTGGGTGAGTGAGTGGGTGGGTGAGTGAGTGAGTGAGTGGGTGAGTGGGTGGGTGAGTGAGTGAGTGGGTGAGTGAGTGAGCAAGTGAGTGAGCGAGCAAGGGGACGAGTGAGTGAGTGGGTGAGTGAGTGAGTGGGTGAGTGAGTGAGTGGGTGGGTGAGTGGGGGAGTGGGGGAGTGGGTGAGTGAGTGAGTGGGTGAGTGAGTGAGTAGGTGAGTGAGTGGGTGAGTGAGTGAGTGAGTGGGTGAGTGAGTGAGTGGGTGAGTGAGTGAGTGGGTGAGTGAGTGAGTGGGTGAGTGGGTGAGTGAGTGGGTGGGTGAGTGAGTGAGTGGGTGGGTGGGTGAGTGAGTGAGTGGGTGGGTGAGTGAGTGGGTGGGTGAGTGAGTCGGTGAATGAGTGAGTGGGTGAGTGAGTGGGTGAGTGGGTGAGTGAGTGAGTGGGTGAGTGAGTGAGTGGGTGAGTGGGTGAGTGGGTGAGTGAGTGAGTGGGTGAGTGAGTGTGTGAGTGAGTGGGTGAGTGAGTGAGTGAGCAAGTGAGTGAGCGAGCAAGGGGACGAGTGAGTGAGTGGGTGAGTGAGTGAGTGGGTGGGTGAGTGGGGGAGTGAGTGAGTGGGTGGGTGAGTGGGGGAGTGAGTGGGTGGGTGAGTGGGTGAGTGGGTGGGTGGGTGAGTGGGTGAGTGGGTGGGTGGGTGAGTGAGTGATTGAGTGAGTGGGTGAGTGGGTGAGCGAGTGAGTGAGCAAGTGAGTGAGCGAGCGAGTGAGTGGGTGAGTGAGTGAATGTGTGAGTGAGTGGGTGAGTGGGTGAGTGAGTGAGTGGGTGAGTGAGTGAGTGAATGAGTGAGTGTGTGAGTGAGTGAGTGGGTGAGTGAGTGAGTGGGTGAGTGAGTGAGTGGGTGAGTCAGTGAGTGAGTGGGTGAGTGAGTGAGTGGGTGAGTGAGTGAGTGGGTGAGTGAGTGAGTGGGTGAGTGAGTGAGTGGGTGAGTGAGTGAGTGGGTGAGTGAGTGAGTGGGTGGGTGAGTGAGTGAGTGGGTGAGTGAGTGGGTGAGTGAGTGGGTGAGTGGGTGAGTGAGTGGGTGAGTGAGTGGGTGAGTGAGTGAGTGGGTGAGTGAGTGGGTGGGTGAGTGAGTGAGTGAATGAGTGAGTGAGTCCTCCTGTATCTCGTACCTCCGCAGTCGCTGCAGCGACGGTGCTGACGGTGTCGGTGGTGGTGGTGGCGGTGGTGGCGGTGGTGGTGGTGGTGTCGGTGGTGGTGGTGTCGGTGGTGGTGTCGGTGGTGGTGGTGTCGGTGGTGGTGGTGTCGGTGGTGTCGGTGGTGGTGGTGGCGGTGCTGGTGTTGGTGGTGGCGGTGGTGTCGGTGGTGGTGGTGTCGGTGGTGGTGGTGTCGGTGGTGGTGGTGTCGGTGGTGGTGGTGTCGGTGGTGGTGGTGGTGGTGTCGGTGGTGGTGGTGTTGGTGGTTCCACCTCCCTGCGCTTTCTCCCCTCGTGCCGGGAAAGCCCGGAGTGGAGTCCGCTCCGGGCTCTCCTGGGCGGATCCCGATCCCGGACTCCCACTCCCCGCTCCACCACCAACACCACAGCCACCACCACAGCCACAACCGCCACCACCACAGACGCAACCACCGCCACCATAATCACCACCACCACAACAACAACAACCACCACCACTACAGCCACAACCACCACTACAACCACCACTACAACCGCAAACACCAACACTACCGCCACAACCATCATCAACACCACCACCATAATCACCACCACCACCACAACAACCACCACCACCGACAACGCCACTACCACCACCACCACCATAATCGCAACCAACACTATCGCCACCATCACCACCACCATCGCTATCGTCACCACCGCCACTCCCAGCATCACCATCACCACCATCACCGTCACCACCACCATCACCATCACCACCACCACCACCATCACCATCACCACCATCACCACCATCACCACCACCACCATCATCATCACCACCACCACCACCACCAACACCATCACCACCACCACCACCATCGCCACCACCACCGTCACCACCACCACCACCATCACCGGAGAAGTTCACCATCTGCCGGAGTCCGCACGCCGAATCGGACTGGCTGCGTTTCACCGCTGAGCGGCGGTGGTTGTGGTGGTTGTGGTGGTTGTGGAGGTTGTGGTGGTTGTGGTGGTTGTGGTGGTTGTGGTGGTTGTGGTGGTTGTGGTGGTAGTGGTGGTTGTGGTGGTTGTTTGGCACTGAACTGGTGAGGTTCGTGTGGTTGGTGCGGTTATCGGTGGGGTTGGTGGTGAGGTTGGGTGAGCGAGTGGCTGGGTCGGGGTGACTGTGGTTGTCGGGGTGACTGTGGTTGTGAGTGGCTGGGTCGGGGTGACTGTGGTTGTCAGGGTGACTGTGGTTGTCACGGTGACTGTGGTTGTGAATGGCTGGGTCTGGGTGACTGTGGTTGTCACGGTGACTGTGGTTGTGAGTGGCTGGGTCTGGGTGACTGTGGTTGTCACGGTGACTGTGGTTGTGAGTGGCTGGGTCAGGGTGACTGTGGTTGTCACGGTGACTGTGGTTGTGAGTGGCTGGGTCTGGGTGACTGTGGTTGTCACGGTGACTCTGGTTGTCGTGGTGACTCTGGTTGTCACGGTGACTCTGGTTGTCGGGGTGACTCTGGTTGTCACGGTGACTCTGGTTGTCGGGGTGACTCTGGTTGTCGCGGTGACTGTGGTTGTGAGTGGCTGGGTCGGGGTGACTCTGGTTGTCACGGTGACTGTGGTTGTCACGGTGACTCTGGTTGTCGGGGTGACTGTGGTTGTGAGTGGCTGGGTCTGGGTGACTGTGGTTGTCGGGGTGACTCTGGTTGTCGCGGTGACTCTGGTTGTCGCGGTGACTGTGGTTGTCACGGTGACTCTGGTTGTCGGGGTGACTCTGGTTGTCGCGGTGACTGTGGTTGTGCCGCGGGCGGTTAGCGGTGTGGTGATACAGCGCCAGGGAGTGCACGGCATAGATGGAGGGGTGGAGCGTTGGGCTGGGGTTGGAGTAAACACGGTTCAAGTTGACCCCGCGTGTGTCCGTCCTGCACAAGGCAACAACCGCCAACACCACCACCACCACCACCACCGTCAGCACCCTCGCGACAACCACAACCACCGTCAACACCGGCACCGCCACCATCGCGAGAACCACAACCACCGCAGGGTCAACACCACAATCACCGTAGACTCGCGCGGAGACCCACAGACTCACACAGAGACCACCACACACACACACAGAGACCCACAGACTCACCACACAGAGACCCACACACACACACACAGAGACCCACAGACTCACTCACACAGAGACCCACAGACTCACACAGACTCACACACACACACACAGAGACCCACAGACTCATACAGAGAGACCCACAGACTCATACAGAGATCCACAGACTCACACAGAGACCCACAGACTCATACAGAGACCCACAGACTCATACAGAGATCCACAGACTCACACAGAGACCCACAGACTCATACAGAGACCCACAGACTCACACAGAGACCCACAGACTCATACAGAGACCCACAGACTCATACAGAGACCCACAGACTCATACAGAGACCCACAGACTCACACAGAGACCCACAGACTCACACAGAGACCCACACACACACACACAGACTCACACACACACACAGAGACCCACACACTCACACACACACTCACACACACACTCACACACTCACACAAAGACTCACACACACACAGAGACGCTCACACAGAGACTCACACACACACACACAGAGACTCTCACACACACACAGAGACACACACACACACAGACACACACACACAGACTCTCACACACACAGAGACTCACACACACACACAGAGACACACACACAGAGACACACACACACAGAGACTCACACACACAGAGACTCACACACACAGAGACTCACACACACACAGAGAGACTCACACACAGAGACTCACACACACACTCACACACACAGAGACACACACACAGAGACTCTCACACACACACTCACTCACACACACACACAGACTCACACACACACAGAGACTCACACACACACACACAGAGACTCCCACACACACACACACAGAGACTCACACACACTCACACACACACTCACACACACACACACACAGACTCACTCACACACAGACACACACACACACAGACTCACACACACACTCACACACACACACTCACACACACACACTCACACACACACACACTCACACACACACAGACCACAGACTCACACACACACACAGACACACACACACAGAGACCCACACACACACTCACACACACAGAGACTCACACACACACACTCACACACTCACACACACTCACACACCCACACACTCACACACACTCACTGACCTGTAGTGTCCACGCTGCACCCCGTCAGGGTTCAACATGGGCACCAGCTTGAAGAGGAATCACACACACAGAGACTCACACACAGAGACTCACACACAGAGACTCACACACACAGAGACTCACACACACACACACAGAGAGACTCACACACACACACTCACACACACACAGAGACTCACACACACACAGAGACTCACACACACACACAGACACACACACACACAGAGACTCACACACAGACACACACACACAGACACACACACACTCACACACACACTCACACACACTCACAGACTGACCTGTAGTGTCCACGCTGTACCCCGTCAGGGTTCAACATGGGCACCAGCTTGAAGAGGAATCCCTCACACAGAGACTCACACACACAGAGACTCACACACACAGAGACTCACACACACACACAGAGACACACACACACACACAGAGACACACACACAGACTCACACACACACAGAGACACACACACACAGAGACTCTCACACACAGAGACTCACACACACACACTCACACACACACAGAGACTCTCACACACAGAGACTCACACACACAGACTGACCTGTAGTGTCCACGCTGTACCCCGTCAGGGTTCAACATGGGCACCAGCTTGAAGAGGAATCTCTCACACAGAGACTCACACACACAGTGACTCACACACACACTCACACACACATAGACACACACAGAGACTCACACACACACTCACACACACACACACAGAGACACACACAGAGACTCTCACACACAGACACACACACACACACAGACCTGTAGTGTCCACGCTGTACCCCGTCAGGGTTCAACATGGGCACCAGCTTGAAGAGGAATCTCTCACACAGAGAATCACACACACACAGAGACTCACACACACAGAGACTCTCACACACACAGAGACACACACACAGAGACACACACACACAGAGACACACACACACAGAGACTCACACACACACACACAGAGACTCACACACAGAGACACACACACACAGAGACACACACACACACACAGACTCACACACACACAGAGACTCACATACACACAGAGACTCACACACACACTCACACACACACACTCACACACACACTCACACACACTCACAGACCTGTAGTGTCCACGTTGTACCCCGTCAGGGTTCAACATGGGCACCAGCTTGAAGAGGAATCTCTCACACACACTCACACACACACAGAGACTCACACACACAGAGACTCACAGAGACTCACACACACTCACACACTCTCACACACACACAGAGACACACACACACACACTCACACACACACAGAGACTCACAGAGACTCACACACAGAGACTCACACACAGAGACTCACACACACTCACACACACTCACACACACACACAGACACACACTCACAGACAGACCTGTAGTGTCCACGCTGTACCCCGTCAGGGTTCAACATGGGCACCAGCTTGAAGAGGAATCTCTCACACAGAGACTCACACACACACTCACACACACTCACACACACACACAGACACACTCACACACACACACAGACACACTCACACAGAGACTCACACACACAGAGACACACACAGAGACTCACACTCACACACACACAGAGACTCACACACACACACAGAGACTCACACACACACAGACACACACACACTCACACACACACACTGACCTGTAGTGTCCACGTTGTACCCCGTCAGGGTTCAACATGGGCACCAGCTTGAAGAGGAATCTCTCACACAGAGACTCACACACAGAGACTCACACACACACAGAGACACACACACACACACACAGAGACTCACACACTCACACACACACTCACACACACTCACAGACCTGTAGTGTCCACGCTGTACCCCGTCAGGGTTCAACATGGGCACCAGCTTGAAGAGGAATCTCTCACACAGAGACTCACACACACAGTGACTCACACACACACTCACACACACACAGAGACACACACAGAGACTCTCACACACAGACACTCACGCACACACTCACAGACCTGTAGTGTCCACGTTGTACCCCGTCAGGGTTCAACATGGGCACCAGCTTGAAGAGGAATCTCTCACACAGAGACTCACACACACACTCACACACACTCACACACACACACAGACACACTCACACACACACACACAGACACACTCACACACTCACACAGAGACTCACACACACAGAGACACACACAGAGACTCACACTCACACACACACAGAGACTCACACACACACACACAGACACTCACACACACAGAGACCTGTAGTGTCCACGTTGTACCCCGTCAGGGTTCAACATGGGCACCAGCTTGAAGAGGAATCTCTCACACAGAGACTCACACACACAGAGACTCACACACACACACACAGACACACACACTCACACACACACACAGAGACTCACACACTCACACACACACACACAGACTGACCTGTAGTGTCCACGTTGTACCCCGTCAGGGTTCAACATGGGCACCAGCTTGAAGAGGAATCTCTCACACAGAGACTCACACACACTCAGAGACTCACAGACTCACTCACTCACACACACTCACACACACACTCACACACACACAGAGACTCACACACACACACTCACACACACACAGAGACACACACACACACTCACACACACAGAGACTCACACACACTCACACACTCACAGACCTGTAGTGTCCACGTTGTACCCCGTCAGGGTTCAACATGGGCACCAGCTTGAAGAGGAATCTCTCACACAGAGACTCACACAGAGACTCACACACACACTCACTCACACACACACACAGAGACTCACACACACAGAGAATCACACACACTCTCACACACACTCACACACACAGAGACTCACACACACACAGACACACACACACTCACAGACCTGTAGTGTCCACGCTGTACCCCGTCAGGGTTCAACATGGGCACCAGCTTGAAGAGGAATCTCTCACACAGACACACACACACACAGAGACTCACACACACACAGAGACTCACACACACACACAGAGACTCACACACTCACAGACCTGTAGTGTCCACGTTGTACCCCGTCAGGGTTCAACATGGGCACCAGCTTGAAGAGGAATCTCCGTCTCAGCGCTGCCGCCCGAGGATCTTGCTCCCGCACGATGAACTCGAGGAATCCGCGGAACACGAAGCTGGACGGAGTCTCACCAGGATGGACACGGGCGGTGAGCAGGAACACCTGGGGGGTGGGTGGGGGGGTGGGTGGGGGGGTGGTGGGGGGGTGGGTGGGGGGGTGGGTGGGGGGGTGGTGGGGGGTGGGTGGGGGGGTGGGTGGGTGGGTGAGTGGGTGAGTGAGTGGGTGAGTGAGTGGGTGAGTGAGTGAGTGAGTGGGTGAGTGGATGAGTGAATGAGTGAGTGGGTGAGTAAGTGAGTGAGTGGGTGAGCGGGTGGTTGAGTCAGTGGGTGAGTGAGTGGGTGAGTGAGTGAGTGAGTGGATGAGTGGGTGAGTGAATGAGTGAGTGGGAGGGGTGGGTGGGTGGATGAGTGGGTGGGTGGGTGGGATGGGTGAGTGGGTGGATGGGTGGGTGAGTGAGCGGGTGAGTGGGTGGGTGGGTGAGTGAGTGGGTGAGTGAGTGAGCGGGTGAGTGAGTGGGTGGGTGGGTGGGTGAGTGAGTGGGTGAGTGGGTGGGTGGGTGGGTGAGTGGGTGAGTGAGTGAGTGGGTGAGTGGGTGAGTGAGTGGGTGAGTGGGTGAGTGAGTGAGTGGGTGAGTGAGTGGGTGAGTGGGTGAGTGAGTGGGTGAGTGGGTGGGTGGGTGGGTGAGTGGGTGAGTGAGTGAGTGGGTGAGTGGGTGAGTGAGTGGGTGAGTGGGTGAGTGGGTGAGTGGGTGAGTGAGTGAGTGAGTGGGTGAGCGGGTGGTTGAGTCAGTGGGTGAGTGAGTGGGTGAGTGAGTGAGTGGGTGGATGAGTGAGTGAGAGGGTGAGCGAGCGGGTGAGTGAGTGAGTGAGTGGGTGGGGTGGCTGGGTGAGTGAGTGAGTGGGTGGGTAGATGAGTGAGTGAGTCGGTGAGTGGGTGGGTGAGTGAGCGGGTGAGTGGGTGGGGGTGTGAGTGGGTGAGTGAGCGGGTGAGTGGGTGGGTGAGTGAGTGAGTGGGTGGGGTGGGTGGGTGAGTGAGTGGGTGAGTGAGTGTGTGGGTGGTTGAGTCAGTGGGTGAGTGAGTGGGTGAGTGGGTGAGTGAGTGGGTGGGTGAGTGGGTGAGTGAGTGCGTGGGTGAGTGAGTGAGTGGGTGAGTGAGTGGGTGAGTGAGTGGGTGGATGAGTGAGTGAGTGGGTGAGTGGGTGGATGAGTGGGTGGGTGAGTGGGTGAGTGAGTGGTTGAGTCAGTGTGTGAGTGGGTGAGTGAGTGAGTGAGTGGGTGAGTGGGTGGGTGAGTGGGTGAGTGAGTGGGTGAGTGGTGAGTGGGTGAGCGAGTGGGTGAGTCAGTGGGCGAGCGAGTGAGTGAGTGAGTGAGCGAGCGAGCGAGCGAGCCGGCGAGGGCTAGTTATGAACACAGACAAATAAACAGACGATGTTGCCTGTGAGCGGGAATGGAACCCGGATTGCCGGTTTTTGCCAACTCGGCGCTAACCACTGCACCGCCACTCCCGCCCCCCCACGTGACCCCCCCACGTGACCACCCCCCCCCCACTCCGCCACCTTCTTGTGCGGGAACGATGGCGGGCGTGGCTCGGCCGTGCAGGGGAAGAGGCCGTGAGGCCTCTCCTCCCTGCCAGGCGCCATGCCACAGCAGTCGGTGACTGTCAGCAGGTCCACCCTGAGGCCACACAGCGAGTGGCACAGCAGCTCACGCTGGTAGAACACAGCGTCTGGGGGGCTGGGGGGGGAGAGTCACGTGGGAGGGGGGGAGAGGGTCACGTGGGGGGGGGGGAGAGGGGGGGTCACGTGGGAGGAGAGGGGGGGGGTCACGTGGGGGGGAGAGGGTCACGTGGGAGAGGGTCACGTGGGGGAGGGGGTACAGAGAGGGGGTCACGTGGGGGGGATCACGGGGGGTAGAGGGGGTCACGTGGGGGGGGGGGAGAGTGTCACGTGGGGGGGGGGAGAGGGGGGGTCACGTGGGGGGGGGAGAGAGTCACGTGGGGGGGGGAGAGGGTCACGTGGGGGGGGAGAGGGTCACGTGGGGGGGGGGGGTCACGTGGGGTCACGTGGGGGGGGGGGTATGGAGGTGAGTATAGACAGAAAGTGAACCCACACCTCAACCAGCACCTGAACTGGTACGAGAATAGTAGCAGAACCCGCCACCTGAACCCATGGCAGACCGATACCCAAACCCCTACGTGAACCACTACCCGTACCCCTACCCCTACCCGTACCCCTACCCGTGCCCCTACCCGTGCCCCTACCCCTACCCGTGCCCCTACCCGTGCCCCTACCCGTGCCCCTACCCCTACCCGTGCCCCTACCCGTGCCCCTACCCGTGCCCCTACCCGTGCCCCTACCTGAACCCCTACCCGTGCCCCTACCCATACCCCTACCCATACCCCTACCCCTACCCGTGCCCCTACCCCTACCCGTGCCCCTACCCGTGCCCCTACCCATACCCCTACCCATACCCCTACCCCTACCCGTGCCCCTACGTGAACCCCTACCCGTGCCCCTACCCTTACCCCTACCCGTGCCCCTACCCGTGCCCCCACCTGTCCGGGGTGAGGTTGCGTGCGTCCCTGAACTGCTCGTCCAGCAGCTGCAGCTGCTGCTGGCCCTGCTCGTACGAGTAGGGGTAGCAGAAGGCGAAGTAGGTGGTGGACTCGGCCGCGTCCACCACGCGGTGGTGGAACGTCAGCGTGAACTCGCCGTTGTCCACCTGGAGACAGACAGGGAGAGAGAGAGAGAGAGAGAGAAGGGTGGACTCACTACTGGTGGAGAGAGAGAGAGAGAAGGGTGGACTCACTACTGGTAGAGAGAGAAGGGTGGACTCACTACTGGTGGAGAGAGAGAAGGGTGGACTCACTACTGGTAGAGAGAGAGGGAGAGAGAGAGAAGGGTGGACTCACTAGAGAGAGAGAAGGGTGGACTCACTACTGGTGGAGAGAGAGAATGGTGGACTCACTACTGGTAGAGAGAGAGAAGGGTGGACTCACTAGAGAGAGAGAAGGGTGGACTCACTACAGAGAGAGAGAAGGGTGGACTCACTACAGAGAGAGAGAAGGGTGGACTCACTACTGGTAGAGAGAGAGAGAAGGGTGGACTCACTAGAGAGAGAGAGAGAAGGGTGGACTCACTACTGGTAGAGAGAGAGAAGGGTGGACTCACTACAGAGGAGAGAAGGGTGGACTCACTACAGAGAGAGAGAAGGGTGGACTCACTACTGGTAGAGAGAGAGAGAAGGGGTGGACTCACTACTGGTAGAGAGAGAGAAGGGTGGACTCACTACTGGTAGAGAGAGAAGGGTGGACTCACTACAGAGAGAGAGAAGGGTGGACTCACTACTGGTAGAGAGAGAGAGAAGGGTGGACTCACTACTGGTAGAGAGAGAGAAGGGTGGACTCACTACTGGTAGAGAGAGAAGGGTGGACTCACTACAGAGAGAGAGAAGGGTGGACTCACTACTGGTAGAGAGAGAGAAGGGTGGACTCACTACTGGTAGAGAGAGAAGGGTGGACTCACTACAGAGAGAGAGAAGGGTGGACTCACTACTGGTAGAGAGAGAGAGAAGGGTGGACTCACTAGAGAGAGAGAGAGAGAAGGGTGGACTCACTACTGGTAGAGAGAGAGAAGGGTGGACTCACTACAGAGAGAGAAGGGTGGACTCACTACAGAGAGAGAGAAGGGTGGACTCACTACTGGTAGAGAGAGAGAGAAGGGGTGGACTCACTACTGGTAGAGAGAGAGAAGGGTGGACTCACTACTGGTAGAGAGAGACGGGTGGACTCACTACAGAGAGAGAGAAGGGTGGACTCACTACTGGTAGAGAGAGAGAGAAGGGTGGACTCACTACTGGTAGAGAGAGAGAAGGGTGGACTCACTACTGGTAGAGAGAGAAGGGTGGACTCACTACAGAGAGAGAGAAGGGTGGACTCACTACTGGTAGAGAGAGAGAAGGGTGGACTCACTACTGGTAGAGAGAGAAGGGTGGACTCACTACAGAGAGAGAGAAGGGTGGACTCACTACTGGTAGAGAGAGAGAGAAGGGTGGACTCACTAGAGAGAGAGAGAAGGGTGGACTCACTACTGGTAGAGAGAGAGAAGGGTGGACTCACTACTGGTAGAGAGAGAAGGGTGGACTCACTACAGAGAGAGAGAAGGGTGGACTCACTACTGGTAGAGAGAGAGAGAGAAGGGTGGACTCACTACTGGTAGAGAGAGAGAAGGGTGGACTCACTACTGGTAGAGAGAGAAGGGTGGACTCACTACAGAGAGAGAGAAGGGTGGACTCACTACTGTGAGAGAGAAGGGTGGACTCACTACTGGTAGAGAGAGAAGGGTGGACTCACTACAGAGAGAGAGAAGGGTGGACTCACTACTGGTAGAGAGAGAGAGAAGGGTGGACTCACTAGAGAGAGAGAGAGAGAAGGGTGGACTCACTACTGGTAGAGAGAGAGAAGGGTGGACTCACTACAGAGAGAGAAGGGTGGACTCACTACAGAGAGAGAGAAGGTGGACTCACTACTGGTAGAGAGAGAGAGAAGGTGGACTCACTACTGGTAGAGAGAGAGAAGGGTGGACTCACTACTGGTAGAGAGAGAAGGGTGGACTCACTACAGAGAGAGAGAAGGGTGGACTCACTACTGGTAGAGAGAGAGAGAAGGGTGGACTCACTACTGGTAGAGAGAGAGAAGGGTGGACTCACTACTGGTAAAGAGAGAAGGGTGGACTCACTACAGAGAGAGAGAAGGGTGGACTCACTACTGGTAGAGAGAGAGAAGGGTGGACTCACTACTGGTAGAGAGAGAAGGGTGGACTCACTACAGAGAGAGAGAAGGGTGGACTCACTACTGGTAAGAGAGAGAGAGAAGGGTGGACTCACTAGAGAGAGAGAGAAGGGTGGACTCACTACTGGTAGAGAGAGAGAAGGGTGGACTCACTACTGGTAGAGAGAGAAGGGGGTGGACTCACTACAGAGAGAGAGAAGGGTGGACTCACTACTGGTAGAGAGAGAGAGAAGGGTGGACTCACTACTGGTAGAGAGAGAGAGAAGGGTGGACTCACTACTGGTAGAGAGAGAGAAGGGTGGACTCACTACTGGTAGAGAGAGAAGGGTGGACTCACTACGAGAGAGAGAGAAGGGTGGACTCACTACTGGTAGAGAGAGAGAGAAGGGTGGACTCACTACTGGTAGAGAGAGAGAAGGGTGGACTCACTACTGGTAGAGAGAGAAGGGTGGACTCACTACAGAGAGAGAGAAGGGTGGACTCACTACTGGTAGAGAGAGAGAGGGTGGACTCACTACTGGTAGAGAGAGAGAGAAGGGTGGACTCACTACTGGTAGAGAGAGAAGGGTGGACTCACTACTGGTAGAGAGAGAAGGGTGGACTCACTACTGGTAGAGAGAGAGAAGGGTGGACTCACTACTGGTAGAGAGAGAAGGGTGGACTCACTACAGAGAGAGAGGGTGGACTCACTACTGGTAGAGAGAGAAGGGTGGACTCACTACTGGTAGAGAGAGAGAGAAGGGTGGACTCACTAGAGAGAGAGAGAGAAGGGTGGACTCACTACTGGTAGAGAGAGAGAAGGGTGGACTCACTACTGGTAGAGAGAGAAGGGTGGACTCACTACAGAGAGAGAGAAGGGTGGACTCACTACTGGTAGAGAGAGAGAGAAGGGTGGACTCACTACTGGTAGAGAGAGAGAGAAGGGTGGACTCACTACTGGTAGAGAGAGAGAAGGGTGGACTCACTACTGGTAGAGAGAGAAGGGTGGACTCACTACTAGAGAGAGAGAAGGGTGGACTCACTACAGAGAGAGAGAAGGGTGGACTCACTACTGGTAGAGAGAGAGAGAAGGGTGGACTCACTAGAGAGAGAGAGAGAGAAGGGTGGACTCACTACTGGTAGAGAGAGAGAAGGGTGGACTCACTACTAGAGAGAGAAGGGTGGACTCACTACAGAGAGAGAGAAGGGTGGACTCACTACTGGTAGAGAGAGAGAGAAGGGTGGACTCACTACTGGTAGAGAGAGAGAAGGGTGGACTCACTACTGGTAGAGAGAGAAGGGTGGACTCACTACAGAGAGAGAGAAGGGTGGACTCACTACTGGTAGAGAGAGAGAGAAGGGTGGACTCACTACTGGTAGAGAGAGAGAGAAGGGTGGACTCACTACTGGTAAAGAGAGAAGGGTGGACTCACTACAGAGAGAGAGAAGGGTGGACTCACTACTGGTAGAGAGAGAGAAGGGTGGACTCACTACTGGTAGAGAGAGAAGGGTGGACTCACTACAGAGAGAGAGAAGGGTGGACTCACTACTGGTAGAGAGAGAGAGAAGGGTGGACTCACTAGAGAGAGAGAGAAGGGTGGACTCACTACTGGTAGAGAGAGAGAAGGGTGGACTCACTACTGGTAGAGAGAGAAGGGTGGACTCACTACAGAGAGAGAGAAGGGTGGACTCACTACTGGTAGAGAGAGAGAGAAGGGTGGACTCACTACTGGTAGAGAGAGAGAGAAGGGTGGACTCACTACTGGTAGAGAGAGAGAAGGGTGGACTCACTACTGGTAGAGAGAGAAGGGTGGACTCACTACAGAGAGAGAGAAGGGTGGACTCACTACTGGTAGAGAGAGAGAGAAGGGTGGACTCACTACTGGTAGAGAGAGAGAAGGGTGGACTCACTACTGGTAGAGAGAGAAGGGTGGACTCACTACAGAGAGAGAGAAGGGTGGACTCACTACTGGTAGAGAGAGAGAAGGGTGGACTCACTACTGGTAGAGAGAGAGAGAAGGGTGGACTCACTACTGGTAGAGAGAGAAGGGTGGACTCACTACTGGTAGAGAGAGAAGGGTGGACTCACTACTGGTAGAGAGAGAGAAGGGTGGACTCACTACTGGTAGAGAGAGAAGGGTGGACTCACTACAGAGAGAGAAGGGTGGACTCACTACTGGTAGAGAGAGAGAAGGGTGGACTCACTACTGGTAGAGAGAGAGAGAAGGGTGGACTCACTAGAGAGAGAGAGAAGGGTGGACTCACTACTGGTAGAGAGAGAGGAAGGGTGGACTCACTACTGGTAGAGAGAGAAGGGTGGACTCACTACAGAGAGAGAGAAGGGTGGACTCACTACTGGTAAGAGAGAGAAGGGTGGACTCACTACTGGTAGAGAGAGAGAGAAGGGTGGACTCACTACTGGTAGAGAGAGAGAAGGGTGGACTCACTACTGGTAGAGAGAGAAGGGTGGACTCACTACAGAGAGAGAGAAGGGTGGACTCACTACTGGTAGAGAGAGAGAGAAGGGTGGACTCACTACTGGTAGAGAGAGAAGGGTTGGACTCACTACAGAGAGAGAGAAGGGTGGACTCACTACTGGTAGAGAGAGAGAGAAGGGTGGACTCACTACTGGTAGAGAGAGAGAAGGGTGGGACTCACTACTGGTAGAGAGAGAAGGGTGGACTCACTACAGAGAGAGAGAAGGGTGGACTCACTACTGGTAGAGAGAGAGAGAAGGGTGGACTCACTACTGGTAGAGAGAGAGAAGGGTGGACTCACTACTGGTAGAGAGAGAAGGGTGGACTCACTACAGAGAGAGAGAAGGGTGGACTCACTACTGGTAGAGAGAGAGAGAAGGGTGGACTCACTACTGGTAGAGAGAGAGAAGGGTGGACTCACTACTGGTAGAGAGAGAAGGGTGGACTCACTACAGAGAGAGAGAAGGGTGGACTCACTACTGGTAGAGAGAGAGAAGGGTGGACTCACTACAGAGAGAGAGAAGGGTGGACTCACTACAGAGAGAGAGAAGGGTGGACTCACTACTGGTAGAGAGAGAAGGGTGGACTCACTACTGGTAGAGAGAGAGAGAAGGGTGGACTCACTACAGAGAGAGAGAAGGGTGGACTCACTACTGGTAGAGAGAGAAGGGTGGACTCACTACTGGTAGAGAGAGAAGGGTGGACTCACTACAGAGAGAGAGAAGGGTGGACTCACTACTGGTAGAGAGAGAAGGGTGGACTCACTACTGGTAGAGAGAGAGAAGGGTGGACTCACTACAGAGAGAGAGAAGGGTGGACTCACTACTGGTAGAGAGAGAAGGGTGGACTCACTACTGGTAGAGAGAGAAGGGTGGACTCACTACTGGTAGAGAGAGAAGGGTGGACTCACTACTGGTAGAGAGAGAAGGGTGGACTCACTACAGAGAGAGAGAGAAGGGTGGACTCACTACAGAGAGAGAGAAGGGTGGACTCACTACAGAGAGAGAGAAGGGTGGACTCACTACTGGTAGAGAGAGACGGGTGGACTCACTACTGGTAGAGAGAGAGAAGGGTGGACTCACTACAGAGAGAGAGAAGGGTGGACTCACTACTGGTAGAGAGAGAGAGAAGGGTGGACTCACTACTGGTAGAGAGAGAAGGGTGGACTCACTACTGGTAGAGAGAGAAGGGTGGACTCACTACAGAGAGAGAGAAGGGTGGACTCACTACTGGTAGAGAGAGAAGGGTGGACTCACTACTGGTAGAGAGAGAGAAGGGTGGACTCACTACAGAGAGAGAGAAGGGTGGACTCACTACTGGTAGAGAGAGAAGGGTGGACTCACTACTGGTAGAGAGAGAAGGGTGGACTCACTACTGGTAGAGAGAGAAGGGTGGACTCACTACTGGTAGAGAGAGAAGGGTGGACTCACTACTGGTAGAGAGAGAAGGGTGGACTCACTACAGTCGACTGCACCCGCCTCTCCCCTTAGTCACCGCCGTCGCTCCTTATCCCCCAGTGCTCACACCTGCTGGCCCCTGACTGCACCCGCTTCTCCCCTTAGTCACCGCCGTGTCTCCTCACGCCCCAGTGCTCACACCTGCTGGCCCTCGACTGCCCCTTAGTCACTACCGTCGCTCCTTATCCCCCAGTGCTCGCACCTGCTGGCCCTCGACTGCACCCGCTTCTCCCCTTAGTCACCGCCGTGTCTCCTCACGCCCCAGTGCTCACACCTGCTGGCCCTCGACTGCACCCGCTTCTCCCCTTAGTCACCGCCGTCGCTCCTCACGCCCCCGCGCTCACACCTGCTGGCCCTCGACTGCACCCGCTTCACCCCTTAGTCACTACCGTCGCTCCTAATCCCCCAGTGCTCACACCTGCTGGCCCCCGACTGCACCCGCTTCTCCCCTTAGTCACTACCGTCGCTCCTCAGGCCCCAGAGCTCACACCTGCTGGCCCTCGACTGCACCCGCCTCTCCCCTTAGTCACTACCGTCGCTCCTTATCCCCCAGCGCTCACACCTGCTGGCCCTCGACTGCACCCGCCTCTCCCCTTAGTCACTACCGTCGCTCCTTATCCCCCAGCGCTCACACCTGCTGGCCCCCGACTGCACCCGCTTCTCCCCTTAGTCACTACCTTCGCTCCTTATCCCCCAGCGCTCACACCTGCTGGCCCTCGACTGCACCCGCTTCTCCCCTTAGTCACTACCGTGTCTCCTCAGGCCCCAGTACTCACGCCTGCTGGCCCCCGACTGTACCCGCTTCTCCCCTTAGTCACCACCGTCACTCCTCACGCCCCAGCTCTCACACCGGCTGGCCCCCGACTGCACCCGCTTCTCCCCTTAGTCACTACCGTCGCTCCTCACGCCCCCACGCTCACACCTGCTGGCCCCCGACTGCACCCGCTTCTCCCCTTAGTCACCACCGTCGCTCCTCACGCCCCAGTACTCACACCTGCTGGCCCCCGACTGCACCCGCTTCTCCCCTTAGTCACCACCATCTCTCCTCACGCCCCAGTGCTCACACCTGCTGGCCCCCGACTGCACCCGCTTCTCCCCTTAGTCACCGCTGTGTCTCCTCAGGCCCCAGTGCTCACACCTGCTGGCCCCCGACTGCACCCGCCTCTCCCCTTAGTCACTACCGTGTCTCCTCACGCCCCAGCATGCTCACACCTGCTGGCCCCCGACTGCACCCGCTTCTCCCCTTAGTCACCGCCGTCGCTCCTTATCCCCCAGTGCTCACACCTGCTGGCCCCTGACTGCACCCGCTTCTCCTCTTAGTCAATACCGTCGCTCCTCACGCCCCCACGCTCACACCTGCTGGCCCTCAACTGCACCCGCCTCTCCCCTTAGTCACTACCGTCTCTCCTCACGCCCCTGCTCTCACACCTGCTGGCCCCCGACTGCACCCGCTTCTCCCCTTAGTCACTACCGTGTCTCCTCACGCCCCACCACTCACACCTGCTGGCCCTCGACTGCACCCGCTTCTCCCCTTAGTCACCACCGTCTCTCCTCACGCCCCACCACTCACACACCTGCTGGCCCTCGACTGCACCCGCTTCTCCCCTTAGTCACTGCCGTCGCTCCTCACGCCCCCGCTCTCACACCTGCTGGCCCTCGACTGCACCCGCTTCTCCCCTTAGTCACCGCTGTGTCTCCTCACGCCCCAGTGCTCACACCTGCTGGCCCCTGACTGCACCCGCTTCTCCCCTTAGTCACCGCCGTCTCTCCTCACGCCCCAACGCTCACACCTGCTGGCCCTCGACTGCACCCGCTTCTCCCCTTAGTCACCGTCGCTCCTTATCCCCCAGTGCTCGCACCTGCTGGCCCTCGACTGCACCCGCTTCTCCCCTTAGTCACTACCGTCACTCCTCACGCCCCAGTGGTCACACCTGCTGGCCCTCGACTGCACCCGCTTCTCCCCTTAGTCACCGCCATCACTCCTTATCCCCCAGTGCTCGCACCTGCTGGCCCTCGACTGCACCCGCCTCTCCCCTTAGTCACTGCCGTCTCTCCTCAGGCCCCAGTAATCACACCTGCTGGCCCCCGACTGCACCCGCTTCTCCCCTTAGTCACCGCCATCGCTCCTTATCCCCCAGCGCTCACACCTGGTGGCCCTCGACTGCACCCGCTTCTCCCCTTAGTCACCGCCATCGCTCCTTATCCCCCAGCGCTCACACCTGCTGGCCCCCGACTGCACCCGCTTCTCCCCTTAGTCACCGCCGCTCCTCACGCCCCAGTGCTCACACCTGCTGGCCCCCGACTGCACCCGCTTCTCCCCTTAGTCACCGTCGCTCCTTATCCCCCAGTGCTCACGCCTGCTGGCCCTCGACTGCACCCGCTTCTCCCCTTAGTCACCGCCGTCGCTCCTCACGCCCCAGCGCTCACACACCTGCTGGCCCCCGACTGCACCCGCTTCTCCCCTTAGTCACTACCGTCGCTCCTCACGCCCCACCGCTCACACACCTGCTGGCCCTCGACTGCACCCGCTTCTCCCCTTAGTCACCGTCGTCGCTCCTCACGCCCCAGTGCTCACACCTGCTGGCCCCCGACTGCACCCGCTTCTCCCCTTAGTCACTACCGTGTCTCCTCACGCCCCAGAGCTCACACCTGCTGGCCCCCGACTGCACCCGCTTCTCCTCTTAGTCACTACCGTTGCTAGTCACGCCCCAACGCTCACACCTGCTGGCCCCCGACTGCACCCGCTTCTCCCCTTAGTCACTACCGTCGCTCCTCACGCCCCAACGCTCACACCTGCTGGCCCCCGGCTGCACCCGCTTCTCCTCTTAGTCACTACCGTCGCTCCTTATCCCCCAGTGCTCACACCTGCTGGCCCTCGACTGCACCCGCTTCTCCCCTTAGTCACTACCGTCGCTCCTTATCCCCCAGCGCTCACACCTGCTGGCCCCCGACTGCACCCGCTTCTCCCCTTAGTCACTACCTTCGCTCCTTATCCCCCAGTACTCACGCCTGCTGGCCCCCGACTGCACCCGCTTCTCCCCTTAGTCACCACCGTCTCTCCTCACGCCCCACCACTCACACCTGCTGGCCCTCGACTGCACCCGCTTCTCCCCTTAGTCACCAGATCTCTACTCTACAGCGGTGTACAGAGATAGCAGCGCACAAAGTGGGGGGGGCGGCGGCGGTGGTGGACTCGGACACCTCCAGCACGCGGCGGTGGAACGCCTAAGTGACTGGGTGGGTGAATGGCCGAATGAGTGAACGCACGAATGATTGCGTGAATGAAGGAGTGAATGACCGTATGGGTGAATGAATGAGTGAATGGCAAAGTGAATGCACGAATTACCGGATGAGTGAATGACCGGATGAGTGAATGACCGGATGAATGAACGAACGAACGAGTGAGCGAACGAGCGAGCGAATGAGTGAATGAATGAGTGAATGAATCACCCGGAAGGTTGGCCTGTGTGCGAGTGGCTCCCAGTGCGGCTGGCCGGGCACCGTGCGGACAAGCGGAGTGGCTCCCTGTGAGTAGAGGCGGCTCTGGCGGTTCATGTTCACCAACGTGAAGCACAGCAGCAGCTTGTCGCGGGCGGTGGTGGCGGTGGTGGCAGCGGTGGTGGCAGCGGTGGTGGTGGCAGCGGTGGTGGTGGCAGCGGTGGTGGCAGCGGTGGTGGTGGCAGCGGTGGCGGTGGCACCGCCGCTGCCGCGCACGCCAAAGTGGAACCACGTCCTGCCGTGATGCCATCACCGGCACCGTCAACACCGTCAACAACACCGTCAACACCGTCAACAACATCGTCAACACCGTCAACAACATCGTCAACACCGTCAACAACATCGTCAACACCGTCAACACCGTCAACACCGTCAACATCGTCAACACCGTCAACACCGTCAACACCGTCAACATCGTCAACACCGTCAACACCGTCAACACCGTCAACATCGTCAACACCGTCAACACCGTCAACACCGTCAACATCGTCAACACCGTCAACACCGTCAACACCGTCAACATCGTCAACACCGTCAACACCGTCAACACCGTCAACATCGTCAACAACATCGTCAACACCGTCACCACCGTCACCATCGTCGTCACCACCGGCACACACCGTCAACATCGTCGTCGTCGTCATCATCACCACCGTCAACACCGTCACCACCGTCAACATCGTCGTCACCGTCGTCATCGTCATCGTCGTCATCGTCACCATCGTCGTCATCGTCAACATCGTCATCATCGTCGTCATCATCGTCGTCATCGTCACCACCACCGTCACCATCGTCATCATCGTCATCGTCGTCAACATCGTCATCATCGTCAACATCATCCTCATCACCATCAACATAATCACCGTCGTCACCACCGTCATCACCGTCACCATCGTTGTCATCGTCACCACCGTCAGCATCGTCATCATCACTACACCGTCATCGCCATCCTCATCACCATCAACATAATCACCACACTCACCACCATCGTCACCACCACTACCACCGTCATCATCGTCACCATCACTACACCGTCATCATCGTCGTCGTCACCGTCACTACCGTCATCACCATCAACATAATCACCACACTCACCACCACCGTCACCACCATCGTCACCACCACTACCACCGTCAACATCACCGCCATCACCATCACCGCCATCAACGTCACCGCCATCAACATCATCATCACCACCACCACCATCACCACCATCGTCAACATCACTGCCATCAACATTACCAACATCACGATGAACATCACCAACATCACCACCATCATCAACATAACTGTCGTCATCATCGTCACCATCATCACCATCAACGCCATCAACATCATCACCGGCATCGTCACCACCACTACCACCATCAACATCACCAACACCATCACCACCACCATCATCATCAACATCATTGTCATCTTCACCAACATCACCACCATAATCATCATCACCATCACTACCGTCGTCATCATCACCACCACCATCACCACCACCATCACCACAACAACAACAACAACCGCCATTCGCCACTAAGTGGTGGCAGTGACGTCACCACGACGCTTGTGCCAGGCTAGGTGCACGTTGAGGCCAGGTGAAGTGTCGAACGCCCGGTGGCAGGAGGTCACGGGGCAGACCCAGGTGCCACAGGTCGACTGACTGAGATGACTGGCTGATGCACCACCTGTGCCTCCTACTGTGCCAACCTGCTGTGCTTTAGCTACCCGGTGCTCCGCTCGTTGTTGTGAGCGTCGCTCCTCCGCCCTCCGTTGTTGTTGGAGGGCGACTGCCTCCAACTGCTCTGTAGCGTCCTTCACGAGCCTCCTCCACAGAGGCCGATCTTGACACCGCTGGTACCGGTCATCGGCAAGTCGACTCAGCTCCACGTCCTCCTGTACCACATCACTCCATCTCTTCTCTAGCCCGTACCGCGCCCGTTTGGCCCCCTCGATCCGGCCGAACAAAAGCTGTTTCGGCATGCGGTGGCTGGGCATGCGGGCTACATGACCCAGCCAACGCAGCCTTGCCTGCCGGAGGAGCTCACCAATGGTACTTTCTGTCCAGATCGTTCCAAGGATTTGTGAGCTCCTCACACAATCCAGCCTGCTGGTTAAACCCAGGATGGATCGTAGGCAGGCTAGCCTGAATGTTTTAAACTGGCAAAGGTGTTTCATTAGGGGGGTTCACGTTTCACAAGCGTAGAGAAGGGAGGGAATGACCGTGGCCGAGAAGACCTGAAGCTTAGTGCGGAGCGACAGACCAGGTAGCTTCCACACAGTGTTACGCAACCGATGAAAAGATAATGCCGCTCGACTGATTCGGAGCGAGACCTCTGCTGTCAAACCGGAGCCGGTCATGAGCACACTGCCCAGGTATGGGAAACTCTCCACTCTCTCCACAACTGCCCCATCACCGATTGGGAGTTGTGGGGGTGGAGTGTCCGATGGTACAAAATACCCAAGCAGGTGCTTAGTTCTGGTGGGGCTGATGGTAAGACCCCACCTCTTAGTGGCACGCTCCAGTCTCAGCAGCAGCGTCTCCAACTCCTCCTCTGACTGAGCAGCTATTACCAAATCATCAGCATACATAACATGGTTGACCAATAGGGAGCCATCCCTTGACTGCACCCGGGCATCGATCAACCGCCCATTGTATCTGTGCCAGATGGAAATTTCTCCAGTACAGCTATAGAAGGCTTCACGAACTACGTGGTCGAAATAGATGTTAAATAATGTGGGAGCCAGAGGACATCCCTGTCGCACCCCAAGGTGTAGAGGGAATGGCTCTGACTCCTGGCCACGTAGTTTTACCCGGGCCTGCTCACCATCATAAAGGTCCTTAATAATCGCGAGCGGAGAGTCAGGGACTCCGAAATCACGAAGAACAACCCAGAGCCCAAGACTACTGATGGTATCATAGGCCTTGACCAGGTCAATAAAGCAGAGATGCAGGTTTTGTTGGAATTCCCTACACCTCTGCTGTAGCAGACGGACATAAAATATGGCATCTGTGCAGGACCGCTCTTTCCTGAAACCGCATTGGGGCTCCGCAAGTCTCTCATCAGCGTGCCTGGCAAGGCGATGTTGAATAATCCTTGCCAGGACCTTTCCCGGCACACTGAGGAGTGAGATGTCCCTGTAGTTGTTACAGTCTGTGCGGTCCCCCTTCTTAAAGAGGGGGACCACCAGGGCATCCTTCCAATCCTGCGGAACCTGTCCAGTGGTCCAGACTGTTGTTATGATGTCATATAGGGCAGTCTGTGCACAAACGCCACCCTCCCTCAGCATTTCGCTTGGGAGATCATCTCTGCCCGGTGCCTGGTCTCAGACTCTGGATCGCCTTCAGTACTTCCTCAACAGATTGCACCTCAGCCAGCCACTCACAGGGGGTGACTTCTTACAATATTTGAGGCACCGCAGCCTTGACAGGGTCATCCCCACTTTGTGCCACGATGTTTTTCCTGGGGGAGGAATTTCCCCTCTCCCAGGACCTCACAGAAATGCTCAGCAAATCTGCAAACCTGTTCCTGGGGGTTGGAGATTGGATCACCGTTCTTTCCCCTAATTATGGTAATAGGTGTGGCACTACAAGTTACTTTTTTAATTGAATTAAAGATTCCATCTCCTCAGCAACCTGCGACCACCACCCATCCCTGCAGTGCCTCATTGCTCTCCGGACCTCCGAACGAAGGCTGCGGTAAGCCTCCTCATTCTCCGATGTGGGATGCTGTAGACGATGAGAGTGGGCCTGTTGCTTTTTCTCAGTCAGCCTGAACACCTCCTCTGTCAGCCAGGGTCTCTGGGGAGGTCTGGACCGTGTACCCAAAGCAACCACTGCAGCTGCATGAGTCACAGTCCTAAACCTCGACCATTTCCCCTCGACATCAGGAGGAGTGGGGGACGATGCCAACCCCAGCCGCAAGCGATGATGAAATTCTCGCGTGCAACTTTCATCAGCTAGCTGAGACCAGACCACTATGGGTTTGAATGGGGTCCTGAGTATACACTCACCACCAGAAGAATGGCAGGCACATCTTACAGATGACAAGTCAATGGCCAGTGGGTAGATCAGCTTCATGGTAGGCCCTGGTGTCAAAGACATGGGCTCGCATCCGCTGTTCCGTCACTACGTAGTCCAGCAGATGTTCTTACTTGGACCCGGCATGCTTCCATGATGTGTGGATGCGCCGATGCCGGAACAGCGTGTTGGTAATTACACGCCCATGGGCTGCACAAAAATCTAGCAGCCTCCTACCGTTGTTATTGAGCTGATCTGGCCCATGCCCTCCAATCACTCCAGACCAGGTGCCAGCATCATGACCAACTCGGGCATTGAAGTCACCCAACATGATGACTCTATCCCGAGGGGCCACTTTAGCCAACACCTGTGACAGGAGGTCATAGAAGGCATCTGACTCATCGGCCTTGCCTGCATCCCTCCACTGATGTTCGTCTTCGGTGGGGGCATAAGTAACCACGACCACCACTCCTTGCCTCTGATTGATGGCAAGGCGAGCCCAAAGTAGCCTGGGGCTTACAACTTCCCACACCTCACCGCCACGCTCACACGCCCCCCTTAATTCTTTTGTTCAGAAGAGCAGCCACTCCCTGTTGATTGGCAGTCTGCTGCCCCGAGTAGAGGACTGTCCACCCCTCATGGTGGCAGGAGCCAGAGCCGGTCCACCGGACCTCCAGCTCCCGACCAGAGGAGCGGCAGCCTCTCCTCCGCGGCGAGCGTTCGAACATTCCACGTGGCCACCCGTAGTGGCTTTTCGTTGTTTCTGGAGGAGCCCCTCGGGTAAGGATTCAACCTCCTGGCTCCGCCAAACGGGGTTTGGCCAGGAGACGTCACGGACGCCTGTCCCCCCCGGGGCCTCCGGCACAGGCTTATTAATTGGATATCTTAGACGTGGTTTTGCGGTAATTATTTGAAAGTGGATGGGTTACCAGCCCCTCGCACCCGTCCAGAAGCCCCCTTTGGCTGCTGTGGTGGCCACAGACGCCATGAGGCGGAACGGCCGATCGACAATTGGCCCTGCACCCACGGCACTGCTCACCACAGCCTTACCGTCTGGCACCAGCGCGGAGGTGGGTGGGGGCTTCAGCTTTGTCTTGGGTCTATCGTTAAAGTCACGCAGGCAGGGCCGACGTTTCGATCGCAACGCAAGCGGTCGTCTTCATGTAGCGGGCTGTGTTGCTGTCACCGCAGCCGCAGCCACCACCACCACCACCACCATCACAACCACCACCATCACCACCACCACCACCCTCACCACCCTCACCACCACCCTCACCACCACCCTCACCACCACCACCACCACCACCACCCTCACCACCACCACCCTCACCACCCTCACCACCACCCTCACCACCACCCTCACCACCACCACCATCACCACCCTCACCACCACCACCACCACCACCCTCACCACCCTCACCACCACCACCACCACCACCCTCACCACCCTCACAACCACCACCACCACCACCCTCACCACCACCACCACCCTCACCACCACCACCACCCTCACCACCACCCTCACCACCACCACCACCACCACCCTCACCACCACCACCACCCTCACCACCCTCACCACCACCACCACCATCACCACCACCACCACCACCACCATCACCACCACCACCACCACCACCCTCACCACCACCCTCACCACCACCCTCACCACCACCACCACCACCACCCTCACCACCACCCTCACCACCACCCTCACCACCATCACCACCACCACCACCACCATCACCACCACCACCACCACCACCCTCACCACCACCCTCACCACCACCCTCACCACCACCACCACCACCACCCTCACCACCACCCTCACCACCACCCTCACCACCATCACCACCATCACCACCACCACCACCACCACCCTCACCACCACCCTCACCACCACCCTCACCACCACCACCACCACCACCCTTACCACCACCCTCACCACCACCCTCACCACCACCCTCACCACCACCACCATCACCACCCTCACCACCCTCACAACCACCACCACCACCACCACCACCACCCTCACCACCACCACCACCCTCACCACCACCCTCACCACCACCACCCTCACCACCACCACCACCCTCACCACCACCACCACCCTCACCACCACCCTCACCACCACCACCACCACCCTCACCACCACCCTCACCACCCTCACCACCCTCACCACCACCACCACCACCACCCTCACCACCACCACCACCCTCACCACCACCCTCACCACCACCCTCACCACCATCACCACCACCACCATCACCACCACCACCACCACCACCCTCACCACCACCACCACCACCACCACCCTCACCACCACCACCACCACCACCCTCACCACCACCACCACCACCACCACCACCATCACCACCACCACCACCTGTTGGAGTTCTCAAACTCGGTGCCAGCGCAGTCCGGCCGGGTCCAAAGCCGGAACCTCCAGTCGGGACGAAGCCCCCCGCCCCCCACCCCGCCCCCCACCCCGCCCCCCACCCCCCCCGCTCCGCCCCCACCCCCCAGGCCCCGACCCCCCACGCCGGGGTCGTCGCCGCCGCCGCTGCCGCCGTTGTCGTCATGGCAACCGGCGAGCTCCACCCGGGCGAGGTTGCCGGAGTCGAAGTGCGACGTGAAGGTGAAGGGCCCACAGCGGAGCTCCATCTCACAGACGGAGCCGCGTGAACCCTACGGGTACAAGGTGAGGGGGCCCACGGCGGAGCTCCATCTCACAGACGGAGCCGTGTGAACCCTAGGGGTACAAGATGAGGGGGCCCACGGCGGAGCTCCATCTCACAGACGGAGCCGTGTGAACCCTAGGGGTACAAGGTGAGGGGGCCCACGGCGGAGCTCCATCTCACAGACGGAGCCGCGTGACCCCTACGGGTACAAGGTGAGGGGCCCACGGCGGAGCTCCATCTCACAGACGGAGCCGCGTGAACCCTAGGGGTACAAGGTGAGGGGGCCCACGGCGGAGCTCCATCTCACAGACGGAGCCGCGTGAACCCTAGGGGTACAAGGTGAGGGGGCCCACGGCGGAGCTCCATCTCACAGACGGAGCCGCGTGAACCCTACGGGTACAAGGTGAAGGGCCCACAGCGGAGCTCCATCTCACAGACGGAGCCGCGTGAACCCTACGGGTACAAGGTGAGGGGGCCCACGGTGGAGCTCCATCTCACAGACGGAGCCGTGTGAACCCTAGGGGTACAAGGTGAGGGGGCCCACGGCGGAGCTCCATCTCACAGACGGAGCCGCGTGAACCCTACGGGTACAAGGTGAGGGGCCCACGGCGGAGCTCCATCTCACAGACGGAGCCGTGTGAACCCTACGGGTACAAGGTGAGCGGCCCACAGTGGAGCTCCATCTCACAGACGGAGCCGTGTGAACCCTACGGGTACAAGGTGAGGGGGCCCACGGCGGAGCTCCATCTCACAGACGGAGCCGTGTGAACCCTAGGGGTACAAGGTGAGGGGGCCCACGGTGGAGCTCCATCTCACAGACGGAGCCGCGTGAACCCTACGGGTACAAGGTGAGGGGGCCCACGGCGGAGCTCCATCTCACAGACGGAGCCGTGTGAACCCTACGGATACAAGGTGAGGGGCCCACAGTGGAGCTCCATCTCACAGACGGAGCCGTGTGAACCCTACGGGTACAAGGTGAGGGGCCCACAGTGGAGCTCCATCTCACAGACGGAGCCGTGTGAACCCTACGGTTACAAGGTGAGGGGGCCCACGGCGGAGCTCCATCTCACAGACGGAGCCGTGTGAACCCTACGGGTACAAAGTGAGGGGCCCACGGCGGAGCTCCATCTCACAGACGGAGCCGCGTGAACCCTACGGGTACAAAGTGAGGGGCCCACGGCGGAGCTCCATCTCACAGACGGAGCCGCGTGAACCCTACCGATACAAGGTGAGGGGCCCACGGTGGAGCTCCATCTCACAGACGGAGCCGTGTGAACCCTACGGATACAAGGTGAGGGGCCCACGGTGGAGCTCCATCTCTGAGTGTGACAAAGGTCTCACTCCCCGTGTCTCTCTCCCCGTGTTTCTGTCCCCGTGTCTCTCTCTCCCCGTGTCTCTCTCTCCCCGTGTCTCTCTCTCCCCGTGTGTCTCTCTCCCCGTGTGTCTCTCTCTCCCCGTGTCTCTCTCTCCCCGTGTCTCTCCCCACGTGTCTCTTTCCCCGTGTCTCTCTTCCCGTGTCTCTCTCTCACCGTGTCTCTGTCCCTGTGTCTTTCTCCCTGTGTCTCTGTCCCCGTGTCTCTCACCCCGTGTCTCACTCCCCGTGTCTCTCTTCCCGTGTCTCTCTCTCACTGTGTCTCTGTCCCTGTGTCTCTCTCCCTGTGTCTCTGTCCCCGTGTCTCTCTCACCCCGTGTCTCTCACCCCGTGTCTCACTCCCCGTGTCTCTCCTCGTGTCTCTCTCCCCGTGTCTCTCTCCCCGTATCTCTCTCTCCCCATGTCTCTCTCTCCCCATGTCTCTCTCCCCGTGTCTCTCTCCCCGTGTCTCACTCCCCGTGTCTCTGTCCCCGTGTCTCTGTCCCCGTGTCTCTCTCCCCACGTGTCTCTGTCCCCGTGTCTCTCTCCCCGTGTCTCTCTCACCCAGTGTCTCTCTCTCACCGTGTCTCTGTCCCTGTGTCTCTGTCCCCGTGTCTCTCTCCCCGTGTCTCTCTCCCCGTGTCTCTCTCTCTCTCCCCGTGTCTCTCTCCCCGTGTCTCTCTCCCCGTGTCTCACTCCCCGTGTCTCTCTCCCTGTGTCTCACTCCCCGTGTCTCTCTCTCCCCGTGTCTCTCTCCCCGTGTCTCTTTCCCCGTGTCTCTCTCCGCGTGTCTCACTCCCCGTGTCTCACTCCCTGTGTCTCTCTCCCCGTGTCTCTCACCCCGTGTCTCTCTCCCCGTGTCTCTCTCCCCACGTGTCTCTCTCCCTGTGTCTCTCACCCCGTGTCTCTCTCCCCGTGTCTCTCTTCCCGTGTCTCTCTCTCACCGTGTCTCTGTCCCCGTGTCTCTCACCCCGTGTCTCACTCCCCGTGTCTCACTCCCCGTGTCTCTCTCCCCACGTGTCTCTGTCCCCGTGTCTCACTCCCCGTGTCTCTCTCCCCACGTGTCTCTCTCCCCGTGTCTCTCTCTCACCGTGTCTCTCTTCCCGTGTCTCTCTCCCCGTGTCTCTCACCCCGTGTCTCTCTCCCCGTGTCTCTGTCCCCGTGTCTCTCTCCCCACGTGTCTCTCTCCCCGTGTCTCACACCCCGTGTCTCACTCCCCGTGTCTCTGTCCCCGTGTCTCTGTGTCCGTGTCTCTCTCCCCGTGTCTCTCTCCTCGTGTCTCTCCCCACGTGTCTCTCTCCCCGTGTCTCTCTCTTAGTGTCTATCCATGTGAGTGACTATCTATCTGTGTGTCTGTCTGAGTGTCTATCTGTCTGCGTGTCTCTGTGTGTGTCTCAGTGTCTGAGTGTCTATCTGTGTGAGTGTCTATCTGTGTGTGTCTGTGTCTATCTCTGTGTCTATCTGTCTGTGTGAGTGTCTATCTGCGTCTATCTGTGTGTCTCTGTGTCTATCTGTGTCTATCTGTGTGAGTGTCTATCTGTGTGAGTGTCTATCTCTGTGAGTGTCTGTGTGAGTGTCTATCTATCTGTCTGTTTGAGTGTCTATCTGTCTGCGTGTCTCTGTGTGTCTGTGTCTGAGTGTCTATCTGTGTGTCTATCTGTGTGAGTGTCTGTGTGAGTGTCTATCTCTGTGTCTATCTGTGTCTATCTGTCTGTGTGAGTGTCTATCTGGGTCTATCTCTGTGTCTATCTATCTGTGTGAGTGTCTATCTGTGTGTCTATCTATCTGTGTGTCTATCTGAGTGTCTATCTGAGTGTATATCTGTGTGTATGCGTGTCTATCTGTGTGTCTGTCTCTATCTGTGTGTCTGTGTGTCTATCTGTGTGTCTATCTGTGTGTGTGAGTGTCTATCTGTGTCTATATATCTGAGTGTCTATATGTGTGTCTGTGTGTCTATCTGTGTGTCTATCTGTGCGTGTGAGTGTCTATCTGTGTCTATCTATCTGAGTGTCTATCTGTGTGTCTGTGTGTCTATCTGAGTGTCTATCTGTGTGTGAGTGTCTGAGTGTCTATCTGTGTGTGTGAGTGTCTATATGTGTGTCTATCTGTGTGTCTATCTATCTGTGTGTCTATCTGAGTGTCTATCTGAGTGTCTATCTGTGTGTCTGAGTGTCTATCTGTCTATCTGCGTGTCTATCTGAGTGTCTATCTATCTGAGCGTCTATCTGAGTGTCTATCTGTGTGTCTATCTGTCCATCTGAGTGTCTGTGTGTCTATCTATCTGAGTGTCTATCTGTGTCTATCTGTGTGTCTATCTGAGTGTCTATCTGTGTGTCTATCTGTGTGAGTGTCTGTGTGAGTGTCTATCCATCTGAGCGTCTATCTGAGCGTCTATCTGTGTGTCTATCTGTCTATCTGAGTGTGTGTCTATCTATCTGTGTGTCTATCTGAGTGTCTATCCGTGTGTCTGAGTGTCTATCTATCTATCTGTGTGTCTATCTGAGTGTCTATCTATCTGAGTGTCTATCTGAGTGTCTATCTGTGTGTCTATCTGAGCGTCTATCTGAGTGTCTATCTGTGTGTCTATCTGTCTATCTGAGTGTCTATCTGAGTGTCTATCTGTGTGTATATCTATCTGAGTGTCTGTGTGTCTATCTATCTGAGTGTCTATCTGAGTATCTATCTGAGTGTCTATCTGTGTGTCTATCTGTCTATCTGAGTGTCTATCTGAGTGTCTATCTGTGTGTATATCTATCTGAGTGTCTGTGTGTCTATCTATCTGAGTGTCTATCTGAGTGTCTATCTGAGTATCTATCTGAGTGTCTATCTGTGTGTCTATCTATCTGTGTGTCTATCTGAGTGTCTATCTGTGTGTCTATCTGGTTATCTGAGTGTCTGTGTGTCTATCTATCTGTGTGTCTATCTGAGTGTCTATCTGTGTGTATATCTATCTGAGTGTCTGTGTGTCTATCTATCTGAGTGTCTATCTGAGTGTCTATCTGAGTATCTATCTGAGTGTCTATCTGTGTGTCTATCTATCTGAGTGTCTATCTGAGTGTCTATCTCCGTGTCTATCTATCTGTGTGTCTATCTGAGTGTCTATCTGTGTGTCTGAGTGTCTATCTATCTATCTGTGTGTCTATCTGAGTGTCTATCTATCTGAGTGTCTATCTGAGTGTCTATCTGTGTGTCTATCTGAGCGTCTATCTGAGTGTCTATCTGTGTGTCTATCTGTCTATCTGAGTGTCTATCTGAGTGTCTATCTGTGTGTATATCTATCTGAGTGTCTGTGTGTCTATCTATCTGAGTGTCTATCTGAGTGTCTATCTGAGTATCTATCTGAGTGTCTATCTGTGTGTCTATCTATCTGTGTGTCTATCTGTCTATCTGAGTGTCTATCTGAGTGTCTATCTGTGTGTATATCTATCTGAGTGTCTGTGTGTCTATCTATCTGAGTGTCTATCTGAGTATCTATCTGAGTGTCTATCTGTGTGTCTATCTATCTGTGTGTCTATCTGTCTATCTGAGTGTCTATCTGAGTGTCTATCTGTGTGTATATCTATCTGAGTGTCTGTGTGTCTATCTATCTGAGTGTCTATCTGAGTATCTATCTGAGTGTCTATCTTTGTGTCTATCTATCTGTGTGTCTATCTGTCTATCTGAGTGTCTATCTGAGTGTCTATCTGTGTGTATATCTATCTGAGTGTCTGTGTGTCTATCTATCTGAGTGTCTATCTGAGTATCTATCTGAGTGTCTATCTGTGTGTCTATCTATCTGTGTGTCTATCTGAGTGTCTATCTGAGTGTCTATCTCCGTGTCTATCTGTGTGTCTATCTCCGTGTCTATCTATCTGAGTGTCTATCTCCGTGTCTATCTGAGTGTCTATCTGAGTGTCTATCTGTGTGTCTGTGTGTCTATCTATCTGAGTGTCTGTGTGTCTATCTATCTGTGTGTCTATCTATCTGTGTGTCTATCTGAGTGTCTATCTCCGTGTCTATCTATCTGTGTGTCTGAGTGTCTATCTGTGTGTCTATCTGTGTGTCTATCTATCTGTGTGTCTATCTGAGTGTCTATCTGTGTGTCTATCTATCTGTGTGTCTATCTATCTGTGTGTCTATCTGTGTGTCTATCTGTGTGTCTATCTCCGTGTCTATCTATCTGTGTGTCTATCTATCTGAGTGTCTATCTATCTGTGTGTCTATCTATCTGTGTGTCTATCTATCTGAGTGTCTATCTATCTGAGTGTCTATCTGTGTGTCTATCTGAGTGTCTATCTCCGTGTCTATCTATCTGTGTGTCTATCTATCTGAGTGTCTATCTATCTGAGTGTCTATCTATCTGTGTGTCTATCTGAGTGTCTATCTGAGTGTCTATCTGTGTGTCTATCTATCTGAGTGTCTATCTATCTCCGTGTCTATCTGTGTGTCTATCTGAGTGTCTATCTGTGTGTCTATCTATCTGTGTGTCTATCTATCTGAGTGTCTATCTGAGTGTCTATCTGAGTTTCTATATCCGTGTCTATCTATCTGTGTGTCTATCTGAGTATCTATCTCCGTGTCTATCTATCTGTGTGTCTATCTATCTGAGTGTCTATCTATCTGAGTGTCTATCTGTGTGTCTATCTGAGTGTCTATCTCCGTGTCTATCTATCTGTGTGTCTATCTATCTGAGTGTCTGTGTGTCTATCTATCTGTGTGTCTATCTATCTGTGTGTCTATCTGAGTGTCTATCTCCGTGTCTATCTATCTGTGTGTCTGAGTGTCTATCTGTGTGTCTATCTGTGTGTCTATCTATCTGTGTGTCTATCTGAGTGTCTATCTGTGTGTCTATCTATCTGTGTGTCTATCTATCTGTGTGTCTATCTGTGTGTCTATCTGTGTGTCTATCTCTGTGTCTATCTATCTGTGTGTCTATCTATCTGAGTGTCTATCTATCTGTGTGTCTATCTGTGTGTCTATCTATCTGAGTGTCTATCTATCTGAGTGTCTATCTGTGTGTCTATCTGAGTGTCTATCTCCGTGTCTATCTATCTGTG